CTATGGAAAACAGTGTGGAGATTTCTTAAAAAACTGGAAATAGAACTGCCATATGACCCAGCAATCCCACTTCTGGGCATACACACTGAGGAAACCAGATCTGAAAGAGACACGTGCACCTCAATGTTCATCGCAGCACTGTTTATAATAGCCAGGACATGGAAGCAACCTAGATGTCCACCAGCTGACAAATGGATAAGGAAGCTGTGGTACATATACACCATGGAATATTACTCAGCCATTAAAAAGAACTCATTTGAATCAGTTCTAATGAGATGGATGAAACTGGAGCCCATTATACAGAGTGAAGTAAGCCAGAAAGATTATGACCAATACAGTATACTAACACATATATATGAAATTTAGAAAGATGGTAATGATAACCCTATATGCAAAACAAAAAAGAGACACAGATGTACAGAACAGAATTTTGGACTCTGTGGGAGAAGGCGAGGGTGGGATGTTTCGAGAGAACAGCATCAAAACATGTATATTATCAAGGGTGAAACAGATCACCAGCCCAGGTTGGATGCATGAGACAAGTGCTCGGGACTGGTGCACTGGGAAGACTCAGAGGGATCGGGTGGAGAGGGAGGTGGGAGGGGACATCAGGATGGGGAATACATGTAAATCCATGGCTGATTCATGTCAACGTATGGCAAAAACCACTACAATATTGTAAAGTAATTAGCCTCCAAATAATAAAAAAATGGGAAAAATAAAAACAACAACAACAACAACAACAACAAAGAAAACAGCAATTTTGGGAAATGGCCATTCTTCCAGTCATCCTACAGAGAAATCTGTGTCCACTCCAATACTGCTCTCACCATCCCCAGTCAGCTGAGCATGAACTTCAGTTGGCTCTTCTCCAGTTATTCTATCTCTGTTCCTCCTTCACATTATTGCCACCATCATGTAATTTCTTTCATGCTCGGATCAGTGCAATAGCCTTCAAAATTTAGGGCTGCAAGCTAAAATACTTTGTATGACCAATCCCTACACAAAAAGCTACTTGTTGTTTATCTGAAATTCAAATTTAAATAAGTCTCTCAGTCTCAGTCTCAGTTCAGTCACTCAATTGTGTCCGACTCTTTGTGACTCCATGAACCGCATCACGCCAGGCCTCCCTGTCCATCACCAACTCCCAAAGTCCACCCAAACCCATGTCCATTGAGTCGGTGATGCCATCCAACCATCTCATCCTCTGTCATCCCCTTATCCTCCTGCCCTCAATCTTCCCAGCATCATGATCTTTTCAAATGAGTCAGCTCTTCGCATCAGGTGGCCAGAGTATTGGAGTTTCAGCTTCAGCATCAGTCCTTCCAATGAACACCCAGGACTGATCTCCTTTAGGATGGACTGCTTGGATCTCCTTGCAGTCCAAGGGACTCTCAAGAGTCTTCTCCAACACCACAGTTCAAAAGCATCAATTCTTCCACACTCAGCTTTCCTTATAGTCCAACTCTCACATCCATATATGACCACTGGAAAAACCATAGCCTTGACTAGACGGATATTTGCTGACAAAGTAATGTCTCTGCTTTTTAATATGCTGTCTAGGTTGGTCATAACTTTTCTTCCAAGGAGCAGGCGTCTTTTAATTTCATGGTTGCAATAACCATCTGCAGTGTTTTGGAGCCCAGAAAAATAAAGTCAGCCACTGTTTCCACTGTTTTCCCATCTATTTGCCATGAAGTGATGGGGCCAAATGCTGTGATCTTAGTTTTCTGAATGTTGAGCTTTAAGCCAACTTTTTCACTCTCCTCTTTCACTTTCATCAAGAGGCTTTTTAGTTCCTCTACTTTCTGCCATAAGGGTGGTGTCATCTGCATATCTCAGGTTATTGATATTTCTCTTGGCAATCTTGATTCCGGCTTGTGCTTCATCCAGCTCAGCATTTCTCATTATGCACTCTGCATGTAAGTTAAATAAGCAGGGTGACAATATACAGCCTTGTTGTACTCCTTTTCCTAATTGGAACCAGCCTGTTGTTCCACGTCCAGTTCTAACTGCTGCTTCCTGACCTGCATACAGCTTTCTCAAGAGAGAGGTCAGGGGGTCTGGTAGTCCCATCTCTTTCAGAATTTTCCACAGTTATTGTGATACACACAGTCAAAGGCTTTGGCATAGTCAATAAAGCAGAAATAGATGCTTTTCTGGAACTCTCTTGCTTTTTCGATGATCCATTGGACGTTGGCAATTTGATCTCTGGTTCCTCTGCCTTTTCTAAAACCAGCTGGAACATCTGGAAGTTCATGGTTCACGTATTGCTGAAGCCTGGCTTGGAGAATTTTGAGCATTACTTCACTAGAGTGTGAGATGTGTGCAATTGTGCAGTAGTTGGAGCATTCTTTGGCATTGCCTTTCTTTGGGATTGGAATGAAAACTGACCTTTTCCAGTCCTGTGGCCACTGCTGAGTTTTCCAAATTTGCTGGCATATTGAGTGCAGCACTTTCACAGCATCATCTTTCAGGATTTTATATAGCTCAACTGGAATTCCATCACCTCCACTAGCTTTGTTCATAATGACCCCCCAATAAATCTGGCAACCCTATCCTACTTGGTATTCTATTTTCTAATTTCTGATTGTTTCAGTCTTTCCTTCACACTATGCCAGAATTACATTTTTAATACAAAGATGAGAATATTTTATAGAACTGACAGAAATTACCTGACATCTCCATGTTGCCTAGAGTAAGAGAATCCAAATTCTTCAGTATGATATTAAACTCAGTCGCCTTTTGGCTTCAGTTCAGCATTCTAGTTCCAGTTTATGTCTTTCCATTCAACTATCCTGGGAAAATCAACCAGCTCTAAATGCGTCATGTACCTTTATATTTGTGCTTTTGCTCAAAATGCTGGCTTAGCTTAAATCTTCAAGGCCTAGTTCAAATACCATCTATTTCACAAAGCTGTACCCTAATCCCATCTCCATGGCAATATTCAGATCTTCCTTTGCACTTCTGTAAAAAGTCCATTGGACTGCAAGGAGATCCAAGCAGTCCACCCTAAAGGAGATCAGTCCTGGGTGTTCATTGGAAGGACTGATGCTGAAGCTGAAACTGAGTACTTTGGCCACCTCCTGCGAACAGTTGACTCATTGGAAAAGACCCTGATGCTGGGAGGGATTGGGGGCACGAGGAGGAGGGGATGACAGAGGATGAGATGGTTGGATGGCATCACCGACTCGATGGGCAGGAGAGGAGTTTGATTCAACTCCGGGAGTTGGTGATGGACAGGGAGGCCTGGCGTGCTGCAATTCACGGGGTCACAAAGAGTCGGACACGACTGAGCGACTGAACTGAACTGAACATTTTCATTCCATTACAGCCCAATTGCAATCTCTTTCAAAGTTAGATGTTACTTGTGGGCAAAGACTGAAAGTAATTTTTTTACACATAAAAGCAGAAATACATTGAGTCTTAATTATTTATTAGACACCATTTTAGGACTCTGCAACTCACAGATCAGCACCTCTGTAATTTAGGTGGCATTATTTTCTCTAGCTATAGTCTCCATGTATGCTAGCTCAGTGTTCTACATTCAATAGGAATTCATTAAATTTTTTAATTGAATGGAGAGCTTTTATTGGGGATAATGTACTTTGGGCCCATTTAAGTGAATGTTTCCTCAGAGTCAATGTAATTTTAATCAATTCATTAATAATCTGCTTTGTCCTAGAAAGAATTAAAGATAACTTGATCTATTATATACAGATGACAATCTCTTATACAAAGGCAGTGGACTGGGTTGATTTACCATAATTTGTTATGAAAAAATGAAGAATTCATAAATGTTATATAAAAAATGAAAATATGAAAAAAGGAAAATATTTAAATTAGACTGGCATATTAAATGTTTATTATAATTTGCTGGATGGGGAGTGGTTCTTAAGGTTTCCCAGGAATCAGTCTTAATAAACTGAGAGCTAGTTTGAATTCTAATTATTTAAAGGAAATTAATTTATTACATTCCTAAAATTTCTTTCTTAAAAAGAAAAAAGTAAAATTTATTCTCTTTAAAATTTTCAAAAAATTAAAAAACTGATATCTGGGTCTTTATACAACTCATTTCAGAATCAAGGTGAGGATATCTTTATGGCAGGAAGATTACATTATTATGGTTTGTATCCACAATATCTTTGTAATCAAATGGATCATTATTGGAAATGAGGTAACATCACACAGGCAATGTATTTGACAACATGATACAATTGGAAGTTTGCTTTGCCACTCTGAGCTGTAGGAAGTGAGGAATGTGAGAGAAATAATAGCCAGTGCAGAAGCCTAGACTTGGGAGGCTTGTTTGTCCTGATGAATTAACATCTTTGCTAGAAAGGTCAAAGGTAGACGATATTTATTTCCTGTTTCACTTCCAGGTGTGGCCTGTGCTTTTCCAGTCATTCAACAAAGAAGGCATGTGACACCTACTCACATTTTTGGAATGACATCCAGTGAAAGAGTATGTAGCTGTGGCTCTTGCTGACAAAAATGATAAATTTGAGAGGACACACATTTCAACCCCTAATTCCTCCTTGGGTATTTTTCTAAGTTTTTAACTATTTATTTGCTCTGCAATCATCTGAAGAAAAATAACACTTTATAAGTACTTTTTTTCTGTGCTTACCACCATATTATAAAGTAGAAAATATTATTAAAGTATTAAAAAGTATTATTAATTTGTTTCTTTCTTAGCTGCCCACAACAAAACAGTTATGCAATGATGAGATATCCATTTAAAACAAATGGTTCAGTTGGTGGACTGTATTTTGGAGAGGCTAGAGGTTTTGGACAAAGGAGTGACTTTGTTCTTAGCTTCTCTCTCATTGTCTTTTCAGCTGTGACCACTGCAGCAGGGGTGGAAAGAAGGTTTTAAGACATTTTGTCCTTAGGCATAGTCATGTAAGACCAAGACTAACTTCTGTTCAGGATGGTTCCAGCAGGGCTGGTGTGAGGCAGATGTGAGCACCAATTTTGCCGAACCAGTAGTACTCATAGTCCATGAATTTTTATTTTATAGTGTAGACAACAAACAACCTTACTTCCTCAGGAATAGGTGATAGTCTAGAACTTGCCCTATTTCGAACAATAAAATTTGTTCAAAATGCACCTACCCATAACAAAGTAAAACCTCAGGTTCCCGTAACCAGTAGTGTCCAGGTAAGGGGTACATATTTTCCTCTCTCCATCTTTGAGGAAGACCAGTGATAAACCTGATTCTATTGTTCCACATTCTGTACCAATGACAGCTCCCACGATGTCCCACCTTTAAAAAAATGACAAACACTAACAGTTAGAATATTAAGTCAAAACTTTATAGAGTATAACATTTTATTTTTAATGAGGAATATTTACTTAGTAATAAATAATTCTGAAATAAAGATGTGGTATCTCCAATTTTCTTGAAGATATCTCTAGTCTTTCCCTTTCTATTACTGTCCTCTATCTCTTTGCATTGTTCATTTAAGAAGGTCTTATCTCTCCTTGCTACTCTCTGGAACTCTGCATTCAGTTGGACCAGAAAGAAAGCTTAGCACTGAAGAATTGATGCTTCTGAACCATGGTGCTGGAGAATACTCTTGAGAGTTCCTTGGACAGCAAGGAGATCAAACCAGTCAAACCTAAGGAAATTCAACCCTGAATATTCATTGGAGGGTCTGGTGCTGAAGCTGAAGCTCCAATACTCTGGCCACCTGATGTGAAGAGCAGACTCACCAGAAAGACCCTGATGCTGGGAAAGATTGAAGGCAAAGGAGAAGGGGGCAGTGGAGGATGAGATGGTTAGACAGCATCACCAACTCAGCGGATGTGAATTTGAGGACATTTCGGGAGATAGTGGAGGACAGAGAAGCCTGGTTTGCTGCAGTCCATGGGGTCGCAAAGAGTTGGACATGACTTAGCAGCTGAACAGCAACAAGAAGGATGTGGCACTACAGGTTTTAGGTAATGAAAATGAAAGTGAAAGTGTTAGTCGGTCAGTCATGTCAGACTCTTTGCAACCCCATGGACTGCAGCCCACCAGGCTTCTCTGTCCATGGGATTTTCCAAGTAAGAATACTGGAGTGGGTTGCCATTTCCTTCTCCAGGGGATCTTCCTGACCCAGGGATCAAGCCCAGGTCTCCTGCACTGCAGGCTGATTCTTTACTACAGAGCCACCAGGGAAGCTCCTAAACAAAGTTGTAAACACCTTCCTTTCACTATTACAGTTTTTCTGTGGAGAAAAATTTGATCAACATTATGTATAGTGTGACTTCTCTGGTGGCTCTGTGGTAAGACATCTGCCTGCAATGCAGGAGCTTTAGGAGTCATGGGTTCGATCCCTGGCTTGGAAGATTCCCTGAAGGAGGCCATGGCAACCCACTCCAGTATTCTTTCCTGGAGAATCCTGTGGACAGAGAAGCCTGGCGAATACAGTCCAAAGGTTGCAAAGAGTCAGACACAACTGAAGCAACTTAACATGCATGACATGTATAATTTATCTGCTACATAATAGCCTTTATCCTCAAAGCACTTAAACAGTTGAGATTGGGGATCAGATTTGAACTAAGGAAACAGGAAATCATAAAAGATAGTACCATAACATTATAAATACTTGTATGGTATTTTGCACATTAAAAATAGTTATAGAATAAAAAGTCAAACAACCTGGCAAAAGTCTAGCAAGTTTTCAGAAAGGTAATGAGATTTAAATATGCAGAAAAGAATAAAATTATTTACTATTTTAAAACTCTTGTATCTCCTTAGTATTTATCTCTGCTCATGTCTAATTTGGACATTGCTTTTCACACAACTAACTTGCCTACAGAGGAAACTGGGACACACAGACATAAGTGGCTTACCTAAGGCCAACTGCCTGTTTGGCTCTGAAATTGAGACAGATATTCTGTTTCTTAGTTCACTGTTATTTTAGTAGTTGCAGTTCTAAGAAGGGTACTGTGCCAGGACAATTATGTTGAACTGTTTGAGACCAAAATGTTTAGAATATGTTAATTTTTTTTTTTTTTTTGGTATTTTAACAGATTATATCAATCATTTAAGGAAAAGCAGCTCCTAATAGTACTAGACTACTGTAAATACCAGGAACCTATCTCCACTCATACAAGAAAATTTCACACTGGTTCATTGGTCTTTTACCTGCTCCATTTATCCCAATTAAGCCACTTAGTCTACTGATCCACAAAGCAAGTTAAGGTTATAAATGATGCATATGATGACTCCTTTTAGGCATCCATCTGCTTTAGAGTATTTTCAAAATGAAAGATTAAATTGGAAAAGATGGAATTGTCACAGACTAAAAGAACGTTTTATTCAAGTGAGAAATGAAATTAGCAGTCTTTTTCTCTTATTAGTTGTAATTAAGTAACTCTTTTAATATAAATGAATAGGTTTCATGACTTCTACCACAGAGAGGGCTATATGAGACATGATTTAGGATGCATTATTTCTTTTTAATCTTTTTTAAAACATATTCAATTTTATTCTAATTTTCATTTCTCCCAATATATATGAAGATAACAAAAGTGAGGTTATTTTCTTTAAAATAAATATATTACAAATATATATACAATAAAATAAATAAATACAAAGATACATACAAATATATATTACAATAAAAGGAAAAAGAAAATTTAGTCAGCTTTGAAGAAAAAAGTGGAGAGAAATCTGAAAAACCACTTTATAAAATTCTCACTGCTTTAAATAAATTATCTTTCATTCATTAAAAATTCAGTAGGCGCTTCTTATGGCACAAGCTCATTTTTTCATGAATTTGTATAAACACTGGCTCGAGCTTAGTTGGAGGCAAAGTATCCTTGAGGGGGTCCCAGAGCTGAATCAACTACTGAGGGACCTGATAGACACCTGCCTGGACTTCAGAATCCCTCTCCGTCAGGTTGCAAAGTTGTAATCTTTTCCAATTACAAAAATGTCATGGTCTCTGGCTCTCTCAATGTAATAATTACATGAAGTAAAATTATGACATAACCAAATCTTTTTTTTGTTTTCTGTGACAATATAAATTTTTATGAACTATGACAAATTTGATTGTCAGTATATGTTTATGGGCGTGAAAATGCCATTTGAATCAAGAGATGCTAGTATTTCAGAGATTTTGTACTGATGTTCTTTCTGCAAAGAATATTCTTGCCCAACCAGCATGGCTGACTCCCTAATCTCCTTTAGATATTTATGATGATGTCACTGACTCAGTGAAGCCCTCCTTAGACATCTAAAATTGCAACCTCCAATATACGTGACACTCCTCCCAATCTGCTTTAATTTTCTCATTAAGAAATATATAAAATCCAAACTATACTATAATATAGAAACAGTATAAGTTATAAGACATATCTGTTTGCTATATAGTCTCATTTAACATGTTGTATTTTTCATTTACATATCTTGTTCATGAACATAACCAAATCTTTGAGTCCAGCAGTGGTACTTACAGAGCTCTATAGTTTTAGCAATATCTTGGATGGTACTGCAATTTCCCTGAAAAGGAGTGTTACTTCTCTACGGTTTAAATTATTTTCCCCAAGGAAATGTGGTTCTTTGTGAGCTGCATTTGAAGGAATGTCTGCCTAGAGGGAAGAACTCTCTACAACATAGCAATTTATATTTATTCTTTGATGGCTAATTCCAAAAAAACATTCCTTACATTATTTATTATAAATACATTGGTATCTATTATTTAAAATAGAATGGTGCAAAGTTGGAATACGCAAAAAAATTTAATAGTCAATAAAATGCCTTAAGGCAACTTTGTTCCTTAGAGGTAGAAGGGCAAAATAATATTTAATTTATATTTTAGTGTATGTCTTTCTACTTTTTGTATCAAAAAGAGAATTCTTTTTGTAAGCAAAAATAATTTAAAGAAGTTTTTTTTAACTGGAAAGCTGGTAATCGTCCCTATTAGCTGCTTTGGAATGCTTTGAGAATATAATTACATTTTAATCAGCTCACACTTTAATAGTTTTAAGAATGATACAAAAGTATAACTGATTCATTTAGCTGTATACCTGTAACTAACACAATAGTGTAAATCAGCAATACCCCAATAAAAATTAAAATAAAGAATGATATGAAGGAGTAAAACTTAAATATTATAACCAAAAAAAAAAAGTGAGATGATAGATATGTTAGCTAACTAGATTTTACAATGTTTATGTATATCAAATCAACATGATGTACACTTTAAATATCTTACAACTTTATATGTCAATTGTATCTCAATAAAGCTGAAATTAAAAATACTTTTTTCATAAGCTCAAAAAAGAATGACGAATATTCTTCAAAGGGAAATCTGGCAGTAATTATCAAAATGAAAATTACATATATACACATATATGTATATGTATATATCTGATTCTCTAATTTTCTTTTTTCTTCTTTCAGAAATTTCTCTTTCAGAAATACTTTAACAAGCATAGAAAGAAATCTATCACAATATTCTTTGACTATCAACAGAGGTCCAGATAGATAAATTGGTACAGCAGATAGATAAATTGGTGCAGTGCCTTTCTGAAATAACTGACTAGAAGAGACATTCATAATATATTGTTAAGTTTTAAAAAATCAAGTTTAGTAAGGAAAATGTGACTCTAGAGAGTATTTTTGTATAGTTATAGAAAAATTTCTGAATGAATATATACCAGAAAACACATCTACATTTTAACAGTGAAGAGTGAGATTCACATTGGAAGACTTTTAATTTTTACTTTACACATTTTTTTTCTTTTGCAAAAGGAAAATCACTTTCAGAAAAAGGAAGAAAAACATTCAATTTATATGTGTTAGAATTCAGAATGAAAAGTTAAATTATTTCATCATAGATTGATGAAAATACTAAGAATATGAACATAGGAAACAGAGGTCTCATATTTTAAATACCTATTTCCCTGCTACAAATATTGGCACAAAAGCCTCTAAAAGGTAGTGGAACTTTTCACATGATCTATGAAGATCTGTTTTATTATATTTTTCAGAATATATTAAACCACCTAAAGTTGATGACTTTAGGCTTGAACTAAGATATAGAATAGAGCCTGGCTATAAGAGCCTACATTTACCAGATTCATAACATTTTTTTATCTACTAGAAATTCTCTGAGATTGAATAAGTTCATTACATCCATAAGGTCTCTATTTGGGATGAATTCTTTGATATTTAATAAGGAATGTGCCATAGGTAAAGATTCTTCCACATTCATTTATATTCATGAGGCTTATCTCTAGCATAAGTCCTGTGAGGTCTAGCAAGGTGTA